TAAATAAATAAAAGTATGAATAAAAGTATGAATAATATGTATCTAAGTAAAGAAAAGCAAAAAGTAAATTCTAATTTTGTTGAGGAATTATCCTAATCAATTGAAATTTATGATATGAGTCAAAAATATCCAACTTAAATATATTCTTCATATGATCTGCCTAATGTTATATTTTAAGAGTAATGAGCTCAAATTATCTAATTGAAAGGAGTATCATCCAATATTAACACTGTTAGTTAGAGATGATCCTAAATAAACTTGACTTATAGGGCTCTTCAATATCATAGTTTAAATAACCAACTATTTCAAATAAAAATTTCATCCAATTTTCTAACTATAATTTAGAATTTACTTTTTACGCATCTTTTTTTCTTTGAAGGAGATAAATATTCATTACTTTTGAATATTCTGAGTTTTATCAAATTTGCTGAATTCATTTTAAGGTATCATTGTAATATAAGTTTTGATTTTACTTTTGAGCTCTAGAACCATAGAATTTTAATTCCTTTGTTTGTATTTTTTAATTATTCTCTGAAGTACTGTCTTTCTTTTAGAGTAGCCCTTCAACTACTCATTCAGAAATTCTCAATCTCAAGCTATGACTTCTTGATTCTTGAATGATGAAAAAACCTCCCCATTGAGCTAGTTTATATTTTCCTAAAATTTTGATTTGAGAGCTTTTTTCACATGTTAAGGAGGCAATTTTCAAATTTAATATAATACTCTATTCATCAGAACACATGTTAATAGCTCGAATTCTTATCTTGATTTTTAAATTCAATCCTCTTAGATTCAAATTTTATATTATATATCTGATCTTTTAATAGCTCTGCCCTCTTGAATAGAGTAACTGATATTAATCCTATTCTATTATATGGTTTAATCAAAGATGTGGTGATGAATCAGAAAGATTTATAAAATGTGAGATATTTTGTAGCAATCCAAATTTGTTTTAATCTCTTTAATACCCTTATATCAAAGCACATCCTGATAACAGTTTAAAAAAAGAGGGGTTTTCAGTTCACAATAAAAGTATTCTAGAATCAAGAAATGAATATGTTTGTTTGTTTATCAATTCAACTTTGTATTTCGCCAACGATGTTTTTATTTTAATACACTCAAAAAGGCGATTATTGATGCCAAAGTTTCAATTCCTTTACTATCCTAGGTATAGCCTGGACAGTATTGCACCTGAGTATATTCTTGTTGACATAAATCTTCTGTAGTGAGGTCTAAGGAAGTTAATAATAATATCATTTCCTTCTGTGTTCTTAGTAGATCAATGAAGTTGCCCATATTTTGAACTCTTTTATATCAATTTATTTTTCTATAATTTACTTCACTTTGATATTCATATATTAAAAAGATCTCACAAGTAAAAGTTAGAGTAGGCTTTAACCGAAATCGTCTGACAGTCTTATTAAGAAGTCTAGATGCTGATTATACACATTGTTTAACTAAATGTTGATTCCTTGGAATTTATGATCCATTTGCTTATTTATATTGATACCTTATCAAAATTAATTGAAAATCAATAAATTAATATTTAATTTGGGCTTTAGGAGGTTTTAGCTATTATTAATTGATTATAAAAATAATTTTTAGTGAAAAGGTAATGCCCTAATAAATATAGCAGGAATTATTTATCATAACATCTTAACATTTAGCTTTCCATGACTTTTTTCAGTAGATATATATATTAAGTTTACTTTTTTATATTAGGACATTTGAAAGAATATTAAATGGGCAAAGCAAAATTTTTAAATTAATTAAATTGTATTAATAAGTAAGAAAAAGAAAGTGCTTGACGCTATTGCCTATAATTTTATGAGCTAGAGAATACAGAAGAAAGTTTTAAAGCAATTTTATCTTATAGCCTTGAAAGTTGAATTTTAATATAATAGATAAAGTAATTTAATTTTAGAGTCAAATATCAAATGGTGGAGCATTATGCTAAAAAATACACTATCCAAGGATAATGGTAATATTGAATAATATTTATGTACTTGAAAGAAACATTTTAAGCTTGATATTTTAATTATATGAAATGTATATATTACAAAATACCTATAATATTATTTCAAAGTATTTTCTTCATATTTTGAAAGATTCTCTCCCCACAGTTATAGCTACAACCTCAATTCGAAATCCAATCAAATTGAACATTAATAGAATAATAATAAAAAGAAAATAAAGAGTGTGAATGAATCCGTTTTAAATATAAAATATAAAAATGAATAAGTAATTGATTTTAATGTTACAATGTTAACAAGATGATCATTAACAGAATATAGAAACAGTTTGTTACAACTAACTTTGTACAGAATTCAGATTAAATTGCTTTTAATGTATCAAAATCGGAAGAGTTCATCGTAGTCATCTTGATGACGTTTAAAAAATCGACACCCTGATCGAATACTCTGAGAGAAAAAATCAAGAGTATAATAATTTGATTGATGATCTTAATAAATATGTAGAGCGTGTAAATCAATCTTTTTCTTATTTAAAAACAGGAATCTAATAGAAATATTAAGTAGAAAGGGAAAGATTGCTAAAATTGAACTCACAGTAAATTAATGATTACTTAAATTCAACAACAAATTTAATCGAATACAAATAATCCATTAAAACAATCTTTTAATATTAGACAGAGAAATTAATTAACTTATTTAATAATTTATATGGATAATTGAAATTATCATCATATGAATATTATTAGATTGATGATAATTCAATAAAACTCTCTAAAGAGTTATATGATAAAGGTAATCAGAATAATTATTAGTATCCTTAGGTTATTAATTATATTGGAATCACAAATACGAACAGGCCATACAAATATTACATGCTTCAATACAATAAAACCCTAAAAACCTTTTATCTCACTGGTGCATAGGTGATAAAATAATCGATAATTAATAGGTGCATGTTTAAGATATTTAAATAAAAATGAAGAAGCAATCACTTGGTTGGATAAAGCATTAGAAATCGATCCTAGACATATTAATTCTTTACATGAAAAAGGTACATTATCATAATTATATTAATAGGAGTATGTTTAAGATTATAATGTAAATATGAGGATGCAATAACTTGGTTAAACAAAGTCTTAGCTATTGAACCTAGGAATCATTATTCCTTAAATGAAAAAGGTAGATTTATTCATAATTATTCTAATAGGTTAGTGTTTAAGATCATTAAATAAATATGGAGATTCAATTACTTTTTTAGACAAAGCTTTAACGATTGATCCTAAACATGTTAGTTCATTAAGTGAAAAAGGTAGATTTAATGATAGTGATATTTATAGGTAAATGTTTAAGATTATAAAATAAATATGAAGATGCAATAGTTTGGTTGGACAAAGCATTATATATTGAACCTAAACATCTTTATTCTTTAAGTGAAAAAGGTGAATCTAACTGTAATTATTTTCATAGGAAAATGTTTAAGACTATTGAAAAGATATAGTTAATCTATATCATCCCTAGATTAAGCACTCTCCATCAATGATCGACATATTTTTTCTCTCTAAACCAAAGGTATCTTACAATAGTAATTTTTAGGAGATTGCTTAAGGGATTAATATAAATATAAAGACGCTCTAATTTATTATGAGAAAGCATTAAAGGTTAATCCAAATGATCAATACGCAAAAAATTAAAAGGGTATTTTTCACTTTTTATTTTAGAATTTTGTGAGAGATAATTGAAAAAATGAATATTCAATTATCATATCAATTAATTAGTTTTTCTCAAGTTTTAATCTTTATTCTCATTTTCTTTCAAATAATCAATTAATCATATATTCCTAATTTTGGTTTTATAAAATAGTTTTAAGTCTTCTTTACTATTTTTTGAACTTGGATCAGAAAATTACCAATCATGGTTGTTAGTTATTTTAAGATTGCTTTTAGTAATCATGATTTTCTTGTCAATTTTGACAAGAGTTCTATGCTTAACAAATTTTATAAGGAATATATTTGCATTGAACAGAGAAATATCGATAATTTTAAAATCTAAATGTCAAATACTTGATCAACAATAATTATTTCTTTCCATCTTTTGCATAAAACAATTTCTATTCAAAATCTACCTTCTAACTTGACAATCCAGATTTGAATGTAATTTAGTTGAGAAGAATATCTGACCTTTTTTTTGATGTCTTTGACTTATTAATAAGATGTTAACAGTTAATATGACTTTGTTAAAACAAATGAAAAAATGGAGAAATTATCTATACAAGTGAAGAATTTACTTTATTCGAGCAAGGGACCTAAGAGTTTTAGAAAATATTCGAGTAGATGCTAATCTTAAAATTTTATTAAATTATATGATATGATAGTGATATCCAACTAAAATGTGTAAAGATGGATATTTGAAGTTGGTTAACAGAGAAGGCAAGATTTGAAAATGCTTTTTCATTCATAAAAAGTTTAATGTAAGTATTTTGAAGAGCCACCAGGCAAAAAATATTTCTGGATTTTTATCACCTGTAAGATGACGCAGCTATTAAGACCTTAAATTCATTAAAAAAGAATAATTTAGATTAAAACTTCAAACATAAGTTAAATGATTTATTGAATCTATATAATATATTATAATTAGAGCATCCCTTATAATAAACTTTGGTTGGTTTATTATAAAAATCTAAGTCAGATTTCTAAACTGTCGAACCATATCCTTTTCAGTATCTACAGTTGACTCTAGTTAATTTTTATGTTGGTATTTTGCATGATCTCATTATTATCAATAAGCCTAATATAATTTTCCTGGTTTCTTATCTCTCTTTATAATAATCCTATTTATGATTATTTTTGTGTGCATCTGTCTAGTCAGGAAATCTTTCAGATAATCGACGTAAATTGTCTACTGCTTTGGTACAGAATAGAGGTTTTATGCACTTATAATTGTCCTCTTTTTTAAGTTAGCAGACATGCACAATAGTCTATGTACTCTATTCTAATTAATTCGGAATAAAGGCAACCTCTGAGTATCATTATTATTATAAACATCTGTTTTTAAGAAAACATTATGGAACTCATGTTTCAATACAACTTAAATTCAATTGATTGATAAGACATTTAATCGTAATAAATTCATATTCTCAATAAGTAAAAAATTGAATGCATAGATTACGGAAATTAAGATATAACATTGTACATATCATTTATTTTATTACACACATTAATTGAAGATCTTCTCCACGCCATCATATATAAATAAGTGAAAATAACTTGTCTTAAAAAAATAGAATAAATTTTTTGATTAAATCAGAAGTTGATTGATCTACAATTTCAAATAAAATCAAAAATGTTGAGGTTTTGAATAGAAGATTGGATGTTGCAAATAATTTACAACGGGAATGGCTTAATTGTTAAACTTATATTATTATCAAACATCTTCTTTTAACTATTATGAATTAAAGCACATGGATTAACTTTTGGATGTTGCTTTAATATTATTTAGTAATTACACTTTCTTAAATTTAAGCTGATTATACTATAATTATAGAGAAGATATATGTATTTAAATCTAGATGGGAAAATTTCTTAGAGTGAAAATTAGTGCAAATAATAATAAAACTGGGAAAATGTTTAACCATTTTAGATTTTCAATTATTTATAGATTCTAAATATAAATTATTGATATTTGCTAAAAAAACACATCTCTTGAGATTGTAATAATTAATTTTATGGCGCATATATCTAGATGGTAACAACCATTATATTAAACAAGTATAAAATAGAAACCTATTACGATAAATAATTAAGAAAAAAACCATTTTGGTAACCAAGTACTGCCAAATTCTTTATTCTTTTAATATGTTTTGATAGCACATACTGTTTGATGATACTTATGTTAGATTTTATTAGATAAAATTAATATTATTACTACATTCTATACGTTTCTACTCTTTGTCAAGTTTGAATGGCTCTCTCTAATATCTCATAAATGATTCAATTTATATTTAAGATTATAAATGCTATAAGACTTGCATTTTTTATTATAAATTAGGTGAGCAAATAAAATAATAATTAATGAACATATCTGAAAAATAATCGACTTTAGGGTGATTTCATTCATGAATTATTTAGTTAACATACTGAAATAGAATAAAGTTAACATTTTCATGGAAACTCTTTAATTTATTTTGTTACTTATGGAGAATCAAACAAAAATTTTATTTACATTCCTTGAATCTTTTCTTAAAATATCTAATTTATCACTTTTGCCATAAATTTTGATATAAGTTTTTAAAAATTTGAATTGAAATTGTATCGAAAATCAGAGATATATTATGAAATATGAAATAAAATTAAATAACCTAAATGTAATGCAAAAGCTTGTTTAAAATCTAATTTTAAGAAAAATTATTAATATTCCATTTTTATATAAATGAGGCAATTAAATAGAATCAGGAATTAAACTGTATTTTTAAGATTATATCTTTATTTAATCCAATTATTACAGTTTTGATTTGGTTAATCGAATTGAAAAATTCTAAATATTTACCATTGCTTAAGATTAGGTTATTTTACTAAGATTGAGTAACTTATTGGTTTAAATAGTTCAAACACAATTTAAAATATTGATTTGTCTGATTGAAACACTAAAATTATAAGCTTTAAATTCTTTTTCAGAAAATTTCATTTATTTTGCTTACAAATTCAAAAAAGGTTATATTTCTGTTTTAGAATAATTGATTTTGAGTTAAACTCTCTTTGCCAACCTTTTCAACGATATTTCTATTATTGAATTCGATCAGATGAAATATTTTTTAGATTTGTAATACAATTATACATATTTTTCTATTTTTATACTATTCTATCAGTTATTTTAGATGTATTAAATATTTTAATGATATGATATCCTATCATTATTTTTTAATAAGGGAATCTCTTTCACTTAGGCACTGATTTTAGATAACTGTTTTCAGTTAATCATACTATAATTCATTCATCATTATTATTACAAAATAAATTTTCAGTATGGCTCAATACAAGTAACGATAATTATCATAGTTATAATAGAATTTGAAGATACCTATTATCAATTATGAGGATGAGGGTATAACAATAAAAGTGAAGAAGATAAGAGAACAGAGTACATAATATTCTACACCATATCCAGTCTTTCCCTGCTTTAATCGATGCATTTCAATAAATTAATATCTGCGTTAGTAGTAAGGGACCATAAAGATACTAAATTCAAAATTTTCATAATTTAAGATACAATTAAGCATCCTTCTTATAATTGATGATGAGGTTCTAAAAACTGTTATGACTATTATTGCCTATTATTAGCCTTTATAAGTCTGATGAGTGTATTCAAATATCAATAGAAATAGAATTCTGAATCTCAATTCAAAGAGTTTTCTACATTTTTGAAGGATTTATATATATCACTTTTGGGAAGTCATATATAAATATAAAAATTTAGCAGTGTACATAGCAGAAATTAAATCTTATTTTGAGGTATCAATAAAAATAAATGGCAATTCGATTCATAAATTGCTAATTTATAAAAGAAGCATAGCAAGTCTAAAAAAGAACAAAGAATTATTAGATGGAGAAGTCATAGGAATTAAGCTCAGATATTTACAAAATCAACAACTAATTCTTATGCTAAATTATTAAATAAATTAAATAGGAAATTATTTTTAATTTATAATTCAATGAAGTATTTTATTCATTAATAAGAGATATTTCTCTCTAAATTCCTGTTTGAGCTAAGATTTCTAAATTTATTGGAGCATTTATAATTCTAATGAAAAACTCAAGGAGAATCTTCAGCATATTACAATCAAAATTATGAAATAAATATAAAAGCAGTCTTTAATATTATTATTCATCTGATGAAAATGTATAGAAAATAGTGTTTATAGATTAGTGAAATTAAGAAAAGGATTTTAAGAAATTACTATGTGTTATATTGATTTTGTGCAAAAGTTGAATCATGATTATTGATTGATTTATCGTTTGAATACTTCTTAACTTGGATTGATTTAAAGTTGCTAAGAATATGAAATTTCCTATTAATCAAGTTATGTGTAGCAACTTTAGAGAAACCTTAGTATTTGATTTTTAGAAGCTATGATGCACTTGAACATAATAGTGATTTAGGCTATTTTATAAAAAATTTTTAAATATTTCTTTCTGAAAATTAAATTTAACTTTAGATTCTAAAAATCTCCCCATCAATTATAAATACATTGTTTAGATTTTTGATTTTTAGATCAAATTTTATTTTTACTGGTAGGATTAATATACTTTTTTCATAAATATAATATCTATAAGAATCTTAATAAGAGCTTGATTTTGAACTATTAAGTTTTCTCAGGCTAAATACAACTGAACCTGATCCTATAGAAATCAATTATTATCATTTTATCAAAAGCTTTTATTGGGCACTATTACACATAAAAAACAACATGTAATGGCCTATTGATTAAAAATCTAATAAAGCAATCTTTTAATCTGATGGAGCCTTTTAAGCATTAATATAAATATAAAGATTGTATACAAAATAAACACAAATTTGAGGCAACCCATTAATAAAATAAATGGAAAGATGAACAACATTTATAGAATCCGATATTGGAGCATTACTTACAGAATAATCATAAGTTGAGAAATCTTTCATAATGGAACCACAAGAAATCATCAGTGGTTCAAGCATAATTTCGATCTCACAAATAATTTGGAGACAGAGGTCAATATCGAAATTGGGTATTAGTAATTGCCAATATCCAATAACGTGAAATCTTCAAGAATGAACATAAATATGTATCAATGCTTCTTGGTTGACGTTTTGCATTTCATAAGTTAAAATTAATTTACACTTATGACATTAAGCTAACATAGTTGATTTTCTAGCAAATTAGATGGCTGGATTTTCAACATAAATTTTTCGTAGGATATGAAAATAACAAGCACATGAGCAATTCAGAGAGGTATGATAAAAATATCCAAAGATGCAGCAAACAAATATTTGTAATTTAAGCATGAAGATATGAAGAACCACCCTAAACTTATCGAAGGTGATTAAGTTTATTTTTGTAGACATAAAAAATCGCCCTCCTTTTATGATACATGCTTGAATAAATTTATAAGGTTGAACAGGTATATGTAAGGTACGATCAAGAAACCCAGTTTTGAAGGGATAACAATCTTCTGTAAAAATTAGAGAAATAAGTAGTTTTGAAAGACGTTGAGGAATTTTTTGGCACCAATTACAGCACGATTTAAAAGAAATTTTTAAAAGTTACTAAATTTCTCAACATTCCCTAATTATATCGCCAGTCCCTACAAATGATCTCTTTTTTAAGAAGTTTGCCATGACCATAATACTCTCGCAGTATAGGTATGTCATAAATAGGGTTCGTTTTAACCAAACCCACAAGCCAGAAACCCCATAAAATAACTCTTTATGCTATTAAGTTACGGATTATAATCACATTTGTGAAATATCTCAACTATTTTTGAAAGTAATGTTATTATTTGTTTTGTATTGTTATTTTCCATTCATTAAAATCCTATGTGAGGTTTCCCTTGTTCAATTTACATCAATTCCAAACTCTAAAATTTTTATCTATCTTCCAAACCAAATAGTATAGGATACTTATTGTTTATAGTATAAAGCTCAAAAAAAGTAATAGAAACTCTTATTATTTTAAAAAATAAATGTATTGCGAAAAAGATTTAGTTGGAGAGTTATATAATATTTTGGCTTTTTCTTAAGTTGTTGATGAAGTAGCCTTCGCTATCCTAATTGAAATTTTAAAAAGGGAGAAATTTTCAGATTGCCTAGAATTTCTTTAATAATATTAAAATCAATTCCCTCTAGAGATAGAAAGATTAATGGTAGAAAAATTATCGCTCCTTGATAAAGAATAGACTCCTAATGCAGAGAATAACATTAAGAGAATAACGTACGCTCTCAGAAAAATTAGGGATCATGAATTCAATAAACACAATTACTCGACAGATGACTATAAAATAATTAAAAATGATCTGATCATAAAAATATCATGGGATAAGAAAATTATAGAATTTCTCAAATTTTTAGTTCATCTAACTGCATTAGATGAGAGATATATTAAGTGCGGATCAAATTCTCTTCATTTGCTGGTTTAGATGAAGGTTGATTTGAAGGAATAAAGTTTTGAGAATATCAGGATTAGAGATACCTCCTTAGTTGGTGGAAATTTTGTGCGATGCAATTTTAATGGATCAGAATTTGACAATGTCGGTATTAGTGGAATGAACTTAAGTTAAGCTTAATTATTTTATTGTAATTGGAAAAATATCAAAATACATGAGTTAAATAAATTAGATGGTTATGGTGGATATGTCAAATAGGTATGCTTTTCTCCAGATGGTAAGTTGTTAGCTTCTTGCAGTGATCATAATTTGATTATATTGTGGGATGTTAAAACTGGGAAGGAAAAGTCCAGAATCAGAATCAAGGGAAATGTAAAATCAATATGCTTTTCTCCTTATAATACTACATTAGCGTTCAGCAGTAGATAATTTGTGTTTTTATGGAATCTGAAAACTAGTAAATAAAATGCTAAATTAGATGGCCATTCAAATTGTATTAATTCAATTTGTTTTTCACCTGAAGGTAATACATTAGCATCTGGTAGTGATGATAAGTCCATCCATTTATGGGATGTTAAGACAGGATAAAAAAAAGTCAAATTAGATGGTCATTCTGGAACAGTTAATTCAGTTAATTTCTCTTCTGATAGTACTACATTAGCATCTGGTAGTTCTGATAACTCTATCCGTTTATGGGATGTTAAGATAGGATAATAAAAAGCCAAATTA